GGTCGGCCTCACGGCGCTCTCCTAAGCGAACAAGCGATTTCTCCGGTACGGGGGCGACTCCCGCCTGAGCGCTGCTCGGCGCCTCCCTGCATCCGCGTTTGCTTTTATAGACGGATGCGCCTGGGATGTTCCCACCGCCCTCGCACGCTCAGAGCGCGCCCAGCTCCTGCACCGCGCAAGGGTTTGTTAAGTCTGGCGGTGGATCTCACATCTGGGTTCCTGCCGTGGAAGAAATGTACTTCCGTCAAAGTGCGATCAACATTATTAGCAGTCGGCAGAGCGAGGAGAAGTGCTACCGGGAGCTACCAGACTGGGCATCAGTGGAGGGATCCCACTGCTCCTGGTGACACACCCTTCTCACAGTGCAGGGAGGTCGCAGTTGTAGGGAGACAACAGATCCTGCATTAAAATAAGTATGGAACAAGAAAGAGACCAAAGGCTTTACGCAGTAAAGCTTGCCACGACAGGCCAAGGAGGTACCATTTAAGATAGTGAAGTTCACCTTGTACGACACTGTCAGATGCCAGTTTTGGGATTCAGCTGTCAGCCTCCTGCCAGAACCACGTGATGTCTGGCTTTTCTCACACTGATCAGAGGCTGGCCGCTTGCAAGGCAACAACACATCTAGAGTCTGTTCAGCAGATAGGTAAGAACGGGGAGGCTGTGAGCCAGGCAAGATCTGACCAACCAGGCCACCAGCTGCAAGATCAGAGAAAGTCTAGGGTGACAAAGACCTGAACGCTCTCTTTAGTTTCATGCAGTAGTCCAGTGCTTGGTTGATGGCCCTTATTTGCTTGGAGAAAGCTGAAGTTAGAGAGAAGGAATTGCGAACTCCATCCACCACTTGGTATAAGACAGCCTGGCCTTCGGTGAAGTCAAGATGACTGTCACAAGTGTTCTGTAGTCTTCCGTTTACAGTACTGATCTGGCAGGAATAAATACTTCAGTCCTACCTTCTGCTTCAATCAATATATAATTATTTTACACACAAAATGCATCAATGTGTATTTTCACTTTTCCTCTACCGAGGGACCTGGACAGACTGGATCGATGGGCCGAGGCCAACTGTATGAAATTCAACAAGACCAAGTGCCGGGTCCTGCACTTGGGCCACAACAAACCCCTGCAGTGTTACAGGCTTGGGGAAGTGTGGCTGGAAAGCTGCACAGCAGAGAAGGACCTGGGGGTGCTGGTCGACAGCCGATTGAACATCAGCCAGCAGTGTGCCCAAGCAGCCAAGAAAGCCAACAGAATCCTGGCATGTGTCAGAAACAATGTGGCCAGCAGGAGCAGGGGAGTGATTGTCCCCCTATACTCAGCACTAGTGAGGCCACACCTTGAGTACTGTGTCCAGTTTTGGGCCCCTCACTTCAAGAAGGATGATGAGGTGCTGGAGCAGGTTCAGAGAAGAGCAACAAAACTAGTGAAGGGTTTAGAGAACTTGTCCTGTGAGGAGTGGCTGAGGGAGCTGGGACTGTTTAGTCTGGAGAAGAGGAGGCTCAGGGGGGACCTTATCGCTCTCTACAATTACCTGAAATTGTAATTGTTGTAGGGAGATGGGGGTCAGTCTCTTCTCT